CTCATGTTGATCATTTCTTCTTTGTAAGACACGGGAAGAAAAATCTTCGTTGATATAGATTCCTGTACTCTTTAGTCGTTTGCTACGCCTAAGTATATTCTCCTTATCTTTAAATCGCAGTAATTTAGTTACGATCTGCCTGGGCTTACCAGCTTTGAACTTGCCGGTAGGGTGTGCTCTTTCAATTTCGATGTCATCSGCGTCCATGTCCAGTTTCGTTTCGAGAAGATTCTTGACCTTACTTTCTGTTGTTTCCCAACTTTCATGATGATCTTCCTTAATACCAGAGATCCTTACATTGCTTCTTCTACTTTGATTCTCTRGGTAATCTACTTTATCCTCGAGATCATCGAATTGCTGCTTCATGTCATCTAATTTCTTCTTCACGGACTCGAAGCAGTCAGTTTGATTCTTGAAGTCTTCGATATCTTTCTGTGAGAATTCAAGACTCCTCTTAATTTCTTTAACCTCTCGACCCAGATTATCCAAACGACTATTAAATCCATTCATGAGTGTCTTAAGCAAAGCATTGTAACTATTTTCTTGAGTTTTAAGAAGTTCATTTACGATTTCTAAAGTAACAAAACTAGAGCTCTTCTGTTCAGCGTCCGCCATCATGCACAATTAACTGAATGGAAAATAGCTGAGGGACCATTTTTTTATGCAACAATGGAAAAGGGAGATCATACGTCATATAGCCCACTGCCCTGAAAAAAACATTATCCAAAAGAAATTAAAACTGGCGCGCCCTTCCCGCTACAGCTATTTATGATGATTTGTGGATATATATAACTACTGTGTAACTCAAACATTCTTTATTTCTGTTATTTTAGTTAAAATTTTGTAAAAAAATTAAATAGATCATAAGCCGTCAATTAGTTTTTAAACAAAATATAGGAAGAAATCTATGAAAGTTGTAAGATACAATAATATATTACGGTATCCGATTGTTTCGCCTACGCATTGGTTCGCCTACTGAAGTTCGCCTAATATTACATTGGCACTGATTCATAAGTATAAGCATTAGATGAAAAAAGAGGAAAACTTTAATGATCAAAAAGGCAGACACATCTTTATCTTCAAGAAAGTTTATGAAAATCTCAAGGCAAACTAATCAACAGAAAAATCGCGATTAGTAATCAAGTACGCCAGAAAAGTGTTGAGTGACAAAAAGGGTGTTGCTAAGATTTCATCTGCTCTGCTTACCAAAGACTTCATTAAAAGAACACATCTTTTACCTCTAAGGAAGTTTATTTAAGTATGAAGACGATATAAGCGAGAGAAACGTTAATACAAATGAGTCAAGTACTTCAGAAGTGTGACAACAACAGCAAGAAGTTGAGCAAACTATCAGATGCTACCTATCAAATTCATGAAAAAATCTTGGAAAAAGTTCGCCTACTCATAAGAAAAGTCGTGAAGCCTATCTTAAACAAGTGTGACACAGTAAATATATTAAAAAAAAGTAAAACAAAGCGACTGCTGTCGAGTAAAGTAAGAGAAAACGTTACGAATGAGTCAAAACTTCCGAGATGGGAACGAGTTGTTGTGTGACAACAAAAACGTAACGACTTGTCAAAGTGAAAGCCCTAAACTATCAGATTCCATTAAAAAAATATTTGCTTACTCATCATTATCTTTATTTTAAAAACAAATCTTTTATCGTTAAGAATTTTTTTTATAAGTATGAAGGTGATCAAAGAAAGAGAAACGTTACGAATGAGTCAAAACTTCTGAGATGCGAACGAGTTGTTTTGTGACAACAACAGCGTAACAACTTGTCAACTCATTCACATCTCGGAAGTTCTTGACTCATTCGTAACGTTTCTCTTAGTTTATATATAAGATGTATTTTGAATAAAGATTTTGGTAAGTAAGCAAAGATTTTTTCATGAAATCTGATAGTTTTTACGCTTTCACTTGACAAGTCGTTACACTGTTGTTAGCTTAGCTATTTTTACAGTTAGGATCGCAGTTAGGATCGCAGTTAGGATCGCAGTTAGGATCGCAGTTAGGATCGCNCAGTTAGGATCGCAGTTAGGATCGCAGTTAGGATCGCAGTTAGGATCGCAGTTAGGATCGCTTGCCAGGATCGCTTGCCAGGATCGCTTGCCAGGATCGCTTGCCAGGATCGCTTGCCAGGATCGCTTGCCAGGATCGCTTGCCAGGATCGCTTTCCAGGATCATCAAAAATTTTCTCTGGCAGAAGTATAAATGGATTCAGCACTTACTTTTGATTTTGCCGATTATATTTTGCTGAATTCGAACTGAGGTTACCAAGTAAGAGCCTGTGCTTGGAATCACAACGCCTTCTTGGTATTTTTCAAGATGGCCGACCTCTTGTTTCCAGGACCTTACATATTCAAACGAGCGTTAAAATCCCCGCTCGATTCCCCGCTGAGAAAACCATTCGTTAACACACCGACTCCCCAGTGCAATCATGCTCGGGGGGCGGGGGTTTCAATTGACTAGTGCATTATACGTAGGCGAACTTCAGTAGGCGAAACAATGCGTAGGCGAAACAATCGTAAAGCTATATTACTTATTAGGAATACCAGAGAGAGAGGACACTTTTCTCTTGGATGATTTTATTTGTCAAGGAATATGTGAGCTAAGAGTATGATAGACAAGAAACTAAAAACAAAACACAAACACCCACTTAACAATTACTGTAACTTTGTCCAACACACCCTTTTTTAACCTTAAATTGAAAACTGACCGTTAATCGTACAAGTTAAACATTTGACTTCTGTAATCTCTCAAAACAGACCACAAACTTTGCTTATTGAAATTCAGGTTGTCAGGACAGTCCTGTTGGTATAGCAGACAGTAGTATTATACCAGATGACAGATTTACAGCATCGTCATATTATACCCGTGATGCTAGCGATACTCGTTATAAACCAAAGGAAGCACGTCTGAATGGGGCCATGGGATGGGGACCAAATACAAAAACAGATCCTAATGACTATCTACAGATAGACTTGGGTCAAGTGTATGCTATCTGTGCTGTGGCTACACAAGGCTTTGGTACAAATAAATCCCCAAATGAATGGACTACGCAATATAAGATATCAACATCTGTAAATAATGGTAATTGGACTACTTACAAAACTAGTAATGCAGATAAGGTATTAATGTCTTAAATGTTGCTATTTTTCACTTACTGATATTTTTTACAGTTAGTAAGTATAGGAAATCGCACGATCTAGAGTACAATTCAGAATTTATAGGTACGAGTGATGTTTTGAAAGTTTTCAGAATTGGACGAGCCTTTAGGCGGGTGTGATTGTTTGTTAATAATACACTCAACAAAATTGAGGAATTCAATTGGGACTCTGCAGAGTACAATTTGTATAGAAAATCGCACGATCTCGAGTACAATTGGAAATTAATAGACACGAGTAATGTTTTGTAAGTTCTTGTAATTGCACGAGCCTTTAGGCGAGTGCAATTAAAGAACTTTCAAAACATTACAAGTGTCTATTAATTCCAAATTGTACGAGAAGATCAGCGTGTGATTTTTGGTTTATAGTTCACTCAACAAAATTTCAGTAAAAAATGCGCATCGACGCCGTTCATCTTTGTCTATTTGGCGGCCGATTTTCAGTCCATCGCGCAACTGAAATGCATAAAAAAGATTAGTTCTTACAGCTTTAAAATTTTATTCATATGTTTTTTAAATACAAAGTGATAGAAAATAATTGTTTTGACATTGTTTTGGCCGTGTTGCCATAGCGACTTAATTCGGTACTCCTACGGAGTACAATTAACGCTATAATTGTACTCCTCTCGACCAATCAGAGTCGAGTAATTTTGTTGAGTGTACTATAAGGGTTTTATTGTACTCCTCTTGTAAAATCAGAATCAAGTAATTTTGCTGAGTGTATTATAAATATAGTAATTATACAGTTTCTCATTGATCCCATATAGGTAACTGTCCAATTATTTTCTTAATTGGACAGGTCTTGTTGATATGGGATTAATTAGGCAGCTGTATAATTAATAGGTAATGGGATTTCATGCTCCCCAATCAAGAAATAATTAGACTCGAAAAATCCCTGTGACTGCCAAATTTTGGATATCCTCGGAATTTTCCTCGTCCATCATGGAGTCCTATTACATATACTAATACTGTTGTCAAGAATGTATTCGATGTTGCTTTTTTTTTTTTTCTAGTTGTTTCCTGGTAATACAGATAGTAATACTGTTGTCAAGAATGTCTTAGATGTTGCTATTTTTCTTCTAGTTGTTTCCTGGTGATACAGATAGTAATACTGTTGTCAAGAATGTCTTAGATGTTGCTATTTTTCTTCTAGTTGTTTCCTGGTAATACAGATAGTAATACTGTTGTCAAGAATGTCTTAGATGTTGCTATTTTTCTTTTAGTTGTTTCCTGGTAACACAGATTATAATACTGTTGTCAAGAATGTCCTTGATTATCCAGTTTTAGTGAGGTTCATCAGGTTCATTCCCACAGATTATAGCACCTGGAAGGCCCTACGTGTTGAAGCTTATGGTCTTGAAAAACGTAAGTCTGAACATCATAAAGACTATTTAAAAACTTTTTTTTTTTTTGGCTAAATGTTTCATACATGTCGTCCAATACACACCAAATGAGACGGCGCCTCGTCACGAATTAAGGATTCACGTTCCACGTGATCCGAAACATCCAATGAGAAGGCTTGCTTTGAAGCTTTTTGCAAGTGCCATGTTTTACAAGCCTCTTCTTTAGGGATTGTACGAGACAAAGAAGGCTTTCAGAACAGCCTTGTCCATCTTAATTTGATACAAGCAAACGAATGGAGTTTTTCTCCCTCCAACAGAACTTGGTAGTTCCAGTGCTACATGCTATAAACTTTTTTTATTTAGCTTTGTTTTATTCTTTAAATATTATTTTCACAACAAATGACTTGCCGCTTCCTCCTTTGACAGTAAGGAATAGAGAATGCTCAGCTATACTTAAATCAACCACAATTCGTTGATCTCTTTTTAAAGCCACAAACTATAGTGATTGATATTTTGATGTCAACTTTTGCGCTGAATATATTTATTTGCCGGCAAACGATAAAAATAGAAGACGCCGCATTTCAAGGAAAATGTCACAAATCTGTCAAAAGTCTATTGTTTGAAAGTGGATATTTACCAGAAAGATGACGTAGGTAGAGCTAAATGTTGCCATCAACCGCTGGTGCACATATATTTAATGCATGACTTACAGATATCACTGTTTTGTGTGTCACAGACTAATATTTTCTATAGATAAGACATGCTGTCGTTCGGTTTAATTATCAAGTGATTAATTGGTGCTGAATTTGCAGATAAATAAGCCCTGTGAATTATTTTAACGCCGTTTAAAAAAACAAAAGGTACTCAAATTTGTTGCAGCTTTTCTCTCTTGTACGTATACAGCAAAAATGGAAACAAAGATACAGTTATTATTGAATTAAATTCAAAGACGCATTAAAAGTTGTTTAAATCTTGGAACTCAAAACATAATATGAAGGCAATACTTGACCAAAAAGCATTTTGGAGCATGCCCAAGAGTATCGTGTGTAAAGAGAACAGCCTGTGATAACAAATGAGGTTATTTGGTAGCATGCGTTTTTCGATATTCATTATTCTCAACTTTGAGAACCGTAAAACTTATACATTTTAGCTGCACAGACACTTCCACCAATCTGACCACCACCTGGGGTTAGCTTATTAAAGCTGGATGGTTATCGAAATGTTGAAGGGCATAGGCTAACACCCCCTTCCACACCTAGTTTCAGGGTATAGACCGGTTTCACCCTCCTTGACAACCGTTGTCAAGACCAAACTCAGAGGATAAGCAGTCGAGAAAAATACAGAGTCTAAAGGGGTTACTTGCAGACATGGTCAATGCGGCTTACGGATGTTCGAATCGATCGAATAGGATAAACAAAGTTGTTACTGCTTACCTTCAGTTCCTGTGAAAGATCATAAACAGAAATGACGATAAAATAAATAAAAAACGGCGAGAAACTTAGTTACTTCCTGCATACGGAGAAAACTTTTATGAGCGATTTTTACGCGAATAAAGATATAATAAGGTTAAAACGCTAGGGCGAGGGTTTGCGTAGCCTGCAGCAGCAGTAAGGGGGACTCGCGGTCGATGTCAAGGATTTACGGGTTTTACAGGCGGTTTAAGGAAGGCGCCGGCAGCGGGAATAAGCCGCGCGATAAGTCCTTACTGCTGCTGTGTTGGGAATCAAAGATAAGTGTTTATAAAAACGTACGATATATATATGATGCATGAATGTAAAAAGTTYACCAATGACTTCTGTATAATTTGCCTAAGA